CTACCTCATAGGGTTGTTCATTTGAAATGAGATAAAGGATGGAAAGCACGTGGTCCAGCACTGCTTTCATAATAAATGTAAAACGTTCTAAATGCTCTAATAATGGCATGGTAATTATTATTATGGCCACTGAGAACACACACAATCTAAGTCATTCTCTCCTATTCTGAAACACACACCTAAATGTTTCACACCAGGTCTTTGCGTGTCTCTGAATTCTCTTCAAAGCTTCAGAATTAGAGAAAAGACCGTGAGTCTTGGAAAATTTTCTTTGAAATTACCATTGGCTAGTTATTTGTCCTTTGCTGAAGTAATTATTCTTTGTAAAGAACCAATGGTCTCCTGGACATCTTTCTGGGGGTCTCATGATGGCCCCATTAACACACCCCAAGTGTACTCAGTGCTGCGCCCCCTCTTCCCAGACCACCACTTGTCTTTTAACAGCACCCAGACGGGAACCCATGACGCTCAAGAGACGTCCACAATGGGGGGGTTCAGAGGGGACTGTTCCGTGGGGGACAGATGGCACCTCCTGAGTGAAGTCCCCACTACCTGTCCCTGGATTATTGCACAGCCCTCCCTACCTGGTCTCTGTCCACAGAGCCTCACAACGACACCCATCTTCTGACGCTCCCCACCCCCAGACCTGCAGAACACCCATTGCTTACTGAATTCGGGGAAGGCCATTTGATTGTTACTGAACGTCAGGCACCCGGTTAGCTTGTGAGTACATTCTCTCTGTTACAGGTAAGACTGGAATCCTTCTGCCCGCTCCTTCCATCCCAGCCGGAGTCAACCACATCCATCTATTTTGATGTCTCCTTCCATTCGTTCTTCTCTGCATCCGTGTAATACGTATGAATTACAGGAACCGACAGGAAATACAGCTAGTTTTTGTTTGTTGTAGAAACAGCGTCTTTTCCCACATGTTGTTTTGCTACCTCCCCTTTTTCTAATTCAACAGTGTCTTACGGATCGTTCTATATCGGCACACACAGATGGACCTGGTTCTTTTTAACCTCCGTGAGCGAGTCTATAAGATGACTGATGGGTATTTGGATTGCTTTTAGGTTACTTCCACTTTTTTTCCTTTGTCTCTCCTTTCTTCATCCCAACGCTGCTGTGTGAACATCATCAGACCTGCTGTGATCCACGGAGATCATCAGTTTTGGGCAATCTCTTGGTCCTTAGTCCGCTTTGAGAGCAACAGAAGCCCAGCTTACCCAGGAAGGGGAGAGCCCTGGAAAGTCAATCCTTCAGGTCAGCAGCTACTCACTAGGCACTGGAGATAGCACGTGAACAAAACCAACAGTGTCTTCAAACGGAAAGACGGTTCTCCTCCAGCCCCCTCCTCCCTGCATCCTGCCCCAGGGTAGACCAGCATCCTCAGAGCACGACAGCTGTGCTTAAGAGTGACTCGATGCCCAACGGGAAGTGGCCCAACTGCCTGAGCACAGCTCCTTGCCTATGTTCCTCCCATCAGCATCCTAGACGGATGACACACGCCAGAAGGGTCCCTGGCCCTGGAGATCTGGCCTGGACTCCCACTGACCGCTCCCCAGCCATCAAGCTTCTCGGCAGTGAGTCCCTCGACCGAGGTCTAGTACTGGTTCTGCAGCCCACTTGCTGGGCGACCTCAGGCGAGTCAGTCCACCTCTCTGAGTGTCCCTAGCTGTCAAACTGAGCTGTTCTCAGGCTGTTAGGACCCTGAAATTCTCTGCTCTTGGCCCACGGCGGCCCTGAACGCAGAGAACTCTCAGAACTCTCGGCTCTTCCAGGCATCCACCAAGAAGAGCCCAAGCGACTCTGGTACAGAACAACTTCATCACAGTCACCACCATCAGCCCCGCCGTGGGTGTCAGGTTACCAGCCCGGCACTCACGCTGGGTGGCAGCTCTGCCTCTGATATTTTTAGACTGCCCCGCTCAGCCTGTCCCTAACAAGAGCCAGATGCATCTGGCGATTCCCGCCAAAGCTGGTCCTGCCGACCAGCCGAAACTGCAGTCTTTAAGTAACTCCTACAGGAAGCCAGGCTCTACCACTCCAGGGGCAAGAAGGAGAGTCTCCTCTTCCCACCACCCCTACCCCTGCCCTGGACAAGCTGAAGCCAACAACCAAGTGTCAGGCCTCTGGTTCTGTCTACGGTGCCAGCTGCCCTCTTTCTCCATTCCAGCTGCTGCTGCCAATCGCCTGCTTTTCCAAACCCACACAGGAGCGCCGTCGCCGACCTTTAACTGCCTCTTCTAGAATGGCTCTGCTCCCCAGTCTCAATGCCGGGGACCCAACTGCACCTTCGGCTGACGGCTGCCACCACCCTCGCTCTGGAGTTCCCCACGGCTGGAGAGCCCACCCCGCGTCAGCCCCGGAGCCTGTGTCAGAGGCCCCACTTGTCCACAAGCTGGGCGGCGGCCACATGTTGCGACACACGCACACACACAATTTCTGCCCCCCAGGAAGGCGGCTGGACTCCTGCCGCCCAAACAAATCCCGCCAACCAGCCAGCAATCCGCCGCCATCCCATCTGGCCTGGAAAGGCATTCATATATTTTTGTCTCGACAGACTTTCCTTCCTGGTCATGTCTGGCGGGGTTGGCTATGACAAAGGGCGGCCTTCACTCTGCCCCCATCAACCAGGAAGACCGCAGAGAGCCGGGGCGTCAGCATGTGCCTAGCATGAAACATTGGCCAGTTAAGCCCCGCTGTGAATCACCTGTTGCTGGAAAACGGACAGTGGGCACATTTGCGTGTGGTTTGAGCTCCTGTGAGGAATATATTACGTGGGAGGCAAAGAAAAAAAATGTAGGTGAAATGTTTGCCTCCACTGCAGGAAGAAAGGGCCTTATAAATTACTTGTGAGTGCAGTGTGTAGTGGGGGTGGCGGGGAGGTCTGAATGGATGTGCTCTGCATTACCAATTAGGAGCCCTGATAGCCCCTCATGAGCTATGCCCTGATCTGGGGCCTTGCCAGCCAGAGGGCACAGCCCCTCCCCTCTGGGTGGGGCAGTGCGTCAGCTGGGAGTCTCCCAGGCTGGCCCGGCCCTCACCCACCCTGCTGGCCACCTCGGTGGCTTCCAACATAAACACCTGTCCCCAGATTTCAGGCGAATCAAAATTTCCCCACGGAGGGACAGAGGCAGCTCGAGGCTGTGCGGCCTCCCACCCCCCACGTCCCACGTCCCAGCGGGGTAGTGGTGGCAGGTCCAAAAACCAGCAGTGGGAAAACAGGTTCTGCACCTTCCTGCCTGCACCCCTACCACCGCCCTCGGCTGTGGGTTTGGCATCTGCCATGGCCCCCCGCGGGTATCTGAGCCCGGATGTTCCCAGAAGGGTCTCTCCCCCCCTGTCCCTACAACCCAACTGGGCATCTCCAGGTAGAGAAAAGGAGAGGGCTTCGAGGACGCAGGTGGAGGTTCAAAGTCCGGCTCTCGGCATTTACTACAATAGCTCAGAGACCTTGAGAAACTGACTTTTCGTGTCTGGCCTGGCTGCCCCCACCTGGGAGTGAGAGCCTCCCAGGAGAAATGGAGAGCGTGGGCGCCCTAGCGCACTGCACACGCTCCGCCAGCTTCGGTTTCCATCTTTGCCTCTTCTGGACTCCTGGGGAAACCAGGCTCCTGGCCCTTCCTCGCCCCCTTTGCACTTCCCTATCCCAAGGCCAATTCCAGGGAGAAGTGGCCAGCAACAGGGAGCGGCCTCTGGGATTTCTAACTATTCAGACTAAAGTGTAGAGGTGGCTGGAGACTTTCCTTTTTTAATTGTGGTAAAATATACCTAATAGTTTAAGCACTTGTAAGCGTACAGCTCAGTGGCATTAAATACAGTCACAATGTCGGACAGCCACCACCACCACTATCTATGCTCCCAATGTTTTCATCCTCTCCAACAAAAACTCTGCACCCATTAAGCAATAATCCCTGTTCCCCTTCCCCAGCCCCTGGTCGCCTGTATCTCCTGTGATATGAATTTGCCTACTCTAGGTACCTCAGGTAAATGGAATCATACAGTATTTGGGCTGCAGCCTTGTTAAGCCCCTCTCCAAAGCCCTTACTTTCCTCAGCCTGTCACTTTTCAGGCTGCTCTCTGCACTTTAGACACAGACAAGTTAAAAGGTCACTTGCCCCCCTCCACACACACACATATATACACATCTTTGGAGCTTGGGCGGGGCAGTGCTCCTTTCCCCAATCTCGAGACTGGGATGTCAGTCTTGTTCCAGAGTAACGAGTGGGTTCTGTGACCTGGAGGGAGGGCTTTGCTCTGTGGGGTCTCCCTCAGGTCCAGGTGCCCCAGATTAGTCCCCATTTATACGGTCTCCATGTCAGCGCCCAATTAGGACCTCCTCTGAGTGTACTGAGCAGCCTGGGTTTTGGAACCGATGGGTGGGGCCCTCAAAGCCCCACCAAAGTGGGGAGGGGGAGAGGCCTCAACCCACCAGCGCCTTGAGGCTCCGCCACCGACCCAGACCTAAGACAGTCGTTCCTCGCCGCTGGGGGGCGCAACGGAGCCACCGTCCTGGCCAAGAAGCGTGCGCTGCTCGGAATGACCCACTGACCCAGCCTGGGTGCCGCCAGTGCCGTCCGCTCGGTGAGGCGGGGAGCGGTGCGCCGAGGCGCCGGGGACCCTCATGCGACGAGGTGGCTGGCCTGGACTCCGAGAGCTTCCCGGAGTGAAGCTGGCGGGGGCGAAGGGAACCGCCCTGACTCCTCCCCAAACTTTTCCCGCCCGCCCCGGCGCACAAGGCGAAGGACGCTATCCCGGTGTGGGGAGGCGAAATTCGGGGTCCCGAGCAAGCGCGCCCCGGCAGGAAGTCTGCGCCCTCGTCATCTGGAGGAGGAAAAGCGGATTTTCGACAGGGAGGGGCCCCTCTCTGCCTCCCGACAAATTGCAGGGGACCCCCTGAGTCCCGTGCGTACAGGGCCCGTGCCCCCGCTGCCCCGGCGCACGCTGCCCGGAGCCCCCCCGAAGTGCGCGCGCGGCTCCAGAGCGCGATCCCCACTCACCGGGCGCTGGCGGCTGGACCGACCGATGGGCTGGGGCGCGAGGCGAGGCCGCCGGGCTGTTTGGAAGCTCTGGGCTGGGACTGCGCGCCCTCCCTCCTCTCTCTCGGTGGTGCAGAGCCTCCTCCCCACACTCTCCTCCTTTCCCCGATCCCGCCTCCCGGGGCGTGATGTCAGGAGCCAGGAGAGCGGAGTGGGAGGGGCCGCAGGCGGCGGGTGGGGTACGCAGGAGGGAAAGGCCCGCGCCTGGGAAGCGCCCCCGGCCCCTGCCCGCCTCCCTGCGCGGTGCGTTCAAGTTTGGGGCGGAGTCGGTAGCGCAGCTGTGGGGGAAAGCGGGAGAAATGGGAAGGACACTGCTCGGAGCTGAAGTCTCTCCCTTCGCGGCGCTATCCACCCAGGATCCCAGCTCCCTCGCCTTTCCTGTCCTCCCTTCTTCTCTTCCAGAGGATCAAGGTCAAGAACAGGGTTCTGGAATCTCTGTTTTAGGACCCCCTTCTCAGGCTCTTTGCCTAATGTTGTGATCTTGGCCGTGATCTCTCCTGCCTCAGTTTCCTCTTCTGGAAATGGAAGTCACCTAGGACCGCTGTCCTTGGGTGGTTGCATGCACTGTGCCTGGCACGCCGGAAGTGCTCAGTAAATGTTAGCTGCTGTTACTTTCTCTGACAGAGAGTCCTGGCCTTGGTGGGAAGTGTCAGGGAAACCAGGAGCCCAGTCTGGGTGGGAAGTGATAAATAGCTTTGAACCTACAGTCCTGGAATTTACTGTCCCTAGATATGACATAAAAATGCAAAGAACTGCCTCTCTTTCCAGCTTCCATTTCTCCATCTGGAAACTGAGCAGGCTAATCTGCCCTGGAGGCTTTGGGGGGGCTGGGGGTGAGGGGGTGAGGAAAGAAGACTTTAGTGTAGTAAAGAACTGAAGAAATTCCAAAACAGGGCCACAACATATTACAGTATATTTTTTAAGCTTTTATCAGGTTAATGATATTTGCACACAACCAAAAAATAATCGACTTGTGCCACTAACAAGAGAATTAGAAATGTTTTTAAGGAATACTAATTTATTACTCAGTAGCTGGACCCACTGGGACGCCATGTTTAACTTTTCTGATACCTGTCTTTTTTTAATCCTGTCGGGAGCTCCGTAATGGGGACAGCCTCCTAGGTCTAAATTCGAGATCCTTAGGCGATTTGAGACCCCCTCCAAAAGGCCACCCCTACCCCCCCGCCCCAGGTCCTGAGGTTCCCAGTTGGTCCAATGTCTCATCTCTGAATTCTGAAACTCTGTGGCTAATCAAGACTCTCATCTCCAAGCAAGAGATTCTCTGTAGGGCTGGAGAGGGGGCAGAAAGGTGTTCATATGAACCGAGGCAGGGGCCCCGTATGACAGGGGAGAAGAGTGGGATCTGGCTGCTACAGAGGAGGGCCAGGAGGAGCCCAGCCACTAGCAGGGACAGAGGCCCCTGCCTCTCCATGGCCACCTGAAGGACAGAAAACCCAGAAGGTTCTGCCAGAATGGAAAATCCAGGTGGGGCTGGAGCAGTCCTGCCATTTGCTGAGCACTTACCGTGTACCAGTTACTCTACAAACATTACACTCAATATAACACAACAGCCCACGGAGAAACTGAGGCTCTGAGAAGCTGGCTAAGCAACTTGCCCAAAGGCCCTGTGTGAGAGATGGAACATGGCTCTGAACCCAGACCCACTGCAGCAAACCCCACTCTCCTCTTGCCATGATCGAGCCATTCACCAAATGCTAGCCATGGTCAAGCCATTATTTCTGCCATAGGCACACGCCACCTGAACTAGGATTCACGTGATATTTTCCTTTAAGTCAACAACTCTGTTGATTTAACTCTATTTATTTTCAAAGGAAGCCCTATATCATTACGGTAAACAGGAAACCAGTGCCATCCACCAGAAATAGAAGACAAACTTACAAATCTAAACACTACCCAAAAGAAAACAGTACATTCTAGCCAGCTACTGTTGCCTGCAAGCGTCCGTGAACTTGGAAGTTTAGGATCAGTTAAAAAGGGGCATCAACAGGTGTTGAGAGAGATGTTAAGAGACATGCCAGCCCAGGAGACGTTCTCCTTCTTGTACTCAGAACTATTGCAAAATCACTGGAAAAGGGAATTGTGTTCTCAGTCAAAGCTAGGCGATGCCTCTTCCCTCTGTCACCTAAAACCACCTCCCGTGTGCCTGCTGGTGGCGGGTGCCCCACCCTGGGAAGAACCTGGCCAGACACCAAGTTGCCTTTCCAGGACCCAGAGAAAGGCATGGATGGATTGCCACTTGCTCTTGTTTCAAAACCCTCTCCAGAGCCCCACCTCCCTGTGCCATTCACTTGCTAGGTGTGCCTCTTAGCTTTCTCTCTTTAAACACACACCTGTCTCTCCACTAAGATTGGAGGCAGAAATCTGCCCTCTAACTACTTGGATCCTCCTCCTGGTGTTTCAATAATAAGCTTGAAACCTCAACATCGTGTGGGGAGACAGTAAGAGTGTGTTCGATTGAATTCTGGCCCCAGTTCTTCACCCCTCTATAGGAACATATATATTCATGGTCCAGATGCAGGCAATTTGATCTTGAGCTAGGCCACCGGCTTTGGCCAATGAGATATTAGCAGACTTGACACACGCAAAGGTTCGGAATGTGCTTGGGCAGTGGGGCCTGCCTTGTGCTTTTGTCACTTCCATAAGCGGACTATACCTCTGATAGCCCACGGGCCCCCAAAAAATGAAAGACATGGGGATCAGAGCTACCCTAGGTGACCTGCAGAACTTGCATTTGGGACAGAGCTGCTCCAGCCAAGCTGCAGACATGTGAATGAGAGAGAAATGCATGTGTGTTGCCGCGTGTCACTGAGGTGTCATGGTTGTTTGTTTCACAGCAGTAGCTAGTTGCTAAAAGGCTCATCTTATGTGGGGAGAGAGAGAACTCTAAGGAAGACATCTGAAGGCCAGGAGAAGGCTGGGGGGGGGGTGTTTGTTCGGGGCTGGGCTGAGAAGGGAACTGAGAACGCAATAATCTCTCGTGTCCTTCCTGGCTTGAACGCTATGAGGTTTTGCCAGTTTCTTCCAACCTGCTCCTGTTGATCCTTTCCTGTTCTTAGGAGGAATGAAGGGCGAGGGGTGTCCACGCCTGGGGGCAAATCCGATCCCAACCCTAAGAAAGCCTAACAGAACTGGGAGCTGTAGCAGAATATGAAATGGAGAAGACATGGACTCTTGTCAAGAAGGATGGGGATCTCAAAGAAAACATGCTCTAAATCCACGAAGTCGTGACTGAGATGGATCCAATACAAATGTGGTTCAGCCGCTGAAACCTGCTTTTGGTTGGTGGGTCGGTTTAATCTTGACAGCTGTCAGAGGCTTTTCTCCCTTTCATTCAATAACCATTTCCTTTGACAACAGATGGGTGAATGGGCTGCTAGGACGGCCCCCATGTGATCCTGCCTCCTGGTGTTCACCCCCTTGTGCGCTCGCCTCCCCTTGAGACTGGGCTGGACATAATGACTTGCTCTTAATGAACAGAACAAGGCAAAAATGACGATATCGCTTCCGTGATTAGGTTATAAAAACTGTGACTTCTGCGTCATTAACAGACTCTCTATTGCCTTCTAGGCCTGCATGCTTTCGTGAAGTGAGCTCCCATGTTAGAGAGGCCCACGTGGCAAAGAAGGGAGGGAAGCTCTCTGGCCAACAGCCAGCCAGGAGCTGAGGCCTTCAGTCCAGCAGCCCCCGAGGACCCGGATGCCGCCAACAACCATGTGATCTTGGAGGCAGCTGCTTCCCCAGCTGAGCCTCAGATGAGACCCCAGCTCCGGCCAACCCCTCACAAGCCTTGTGAGAGGCCCCAAAACAGAGGACCCACGTAAGCCACGCCCAGTTTCCTGACCCACAGAAACTGTGACTTAACAAATGTGTGTTACTCTCCATTGGCTGAGATTGGGTTCTAGTTGTAGGCTTTGCATTAGTCACGATAGGCTAGCTTATGCCATGATAACACACGATTCCCAAATTTCTCTGGCTTACAACACAAATGTTGATCTCTCTCGCTGATATGTCCATTATGGGTTGATTGTGACCATGGGTCCATATCGTCTTTACTTTAGGAGACAGGCTGATGGAGCCGCCTCTCTATAGACCACTGCTGGTCTCGGGGAAGTGGGAAGTTAAAAGGATGAGCCACACACTGGCTATTAAAAGCTTCTGCAGGCTCACATTTCATTGGCAAAGCAAGTCAAGAAGCCAAGCAGCAAAAAATCTCCCACTAGCCATGCTATGTTGGCAAGTCTTTTCATCTCTATCTTTGAACTTGGCTTAGAGCTCTAAATACTTCTGGATGTAGGAATATAGCAAGCGCACTCAAAAGCCTCATAAGCAACATTTTCTCCTGGCGACTCTTCCAGTTGTGAAGCAGGATCCTCCAAAGCAAAGGCCCTGCCGTCAGCACTTGTAGGCACGGCCCTGCTGGCCGCCCATCCTGCCATGAGAGCGACAGCTGGGGAAACCCCTAGTGCCTGCTGCACTAAGAGTCAAGACATCTGAATTCCTCGTGGGAGCTAAGAAATATGGTCTCTCTTGCGACCATTTCCTCCTTGTCGCCCACCTCCACAGACTGGGCTGGGGGTGAGGCACAGACAATGGTTTCCAGCAGAGGAAGAAGCCCTGGTGGCCTCCTCCCATGCAAAGCTGGGAGCTCTGGGTCTCATCGCTTCTCCCTGTCATGAAACTTCCTGCAAGGACAAGAAGAGTTCAATCACCAAGGTCAACGGCCACGGAATTTCCAGACCTCTGGAGACACAGCCCATAATGATCCTCTATCAGGCTTTGCATGTCTCTTAAAGCTAGCACAACACACGTGATGAAGGCAAGCGTACTGAGTCGAACAAACCTCAGGCGTTCTGTCGGGGTTTTTCCCGTTATAGACATGTTCGGCACGGTGACCCCAAACATCTGGCTGTTTACTATAGTTCCTGTTTTCATGAGGAGGTTTGGTGCCATAGGGACCGAGTTTCAGAGTTTTCCGAGGTTTCAATTTCCCCGAAATATGGTCAGAAAGAGTAGGAAGCAGGGGCGTTTGCTCCTACCAAGGTCATTACCATCCAGACGTCTGGAGCCCGGGAAGGCCCAT